ATTTGAAGAGGATGCCTCGTGTGAGCGGCAAAGAAGGGGGCAAAGACGAGGGACTCTACGGCCATGAGCTTGATGAGGATGTTCACCAACACCGATAGTATCCCTGGTGACAGCAGTTCCATATTGCACAAACTTAGTGTTCTACTCCATCCGTTCTAAAATCTACTCCCATTGTCCCTGAATAAGTCTTAAATCAAACTTTTTAAACTTTGACCGAATTTATGAAAAAAATCAAGATTTATGATATCAAACTAATATTATTAGATTTACCATAGAATATATTTTCATAATGTGTTAAATTTATGTCATAGATGTTGTCACTCATTTTTATAAAGTTAGTCAAACTTAAAAAAAAGTTTGACTGGCACAAATTCTAGGAATTGATTTATTTTAAGACATAGGGAGTAGATTATAAGATGTTTCGGCTTTTTTAAAAATATTATTTTTACTTTGCATCTAGACATAATGTATATATCTAAATGCATGGCAAATGTAACGTATCTAGAAAAGCCAAAACACCTTATAATTTGAAACTGAAGGAGTACTTAAGGGCCTGTTTGGCACAACTCACAACAGCTTTATGAGTTTTTTTTTTGCCAAACATTTTTTTCCAAAATAGCTTGTTTTTTTCTCCTCTCACAAAGCGATGGGGTGGAAGAGAGCTGAAAAAGTAGCTTTTGCCAGCTTCATCTGACAGAAGTGGTCCCAGCCTGCACCATTGACTGGTCTTGCCCTAAAAGAGAGAGAGAGAGAGAGAGAGAGCAGGGGAGGGAGGCGCGCGCACGCCGGCGTACCGGACGAGACCGCCGGAGCGTGGCCCCCCGAGGCGTGGCCGGCAGGGCAGAGCTCGCCAAGAGTGGGACCGTCGGCGCAGGGTGGGGGTGTGGCCGCCAGAGGCACGGTCGCCGAGGCGCTTCCGCCTGAGTCGTGAGGCCAGGGCACGAGGGCGGAGGGCGGCCGCCGGAGGCATGGGGCCGGAGCGCGGCCGCTGGACATCGGGGCGCGACATCCTAGATATACGGTCGCTCGGGCAAGAGAGAAAGGAAGAAGACGCGCAGGAGAGAGGAGATATGGAAAAAAAAAAAAAGTGCATTGTAATCATTTTCCTATTTGGGTTCATGTGAAGCTCCGGAGCCAAACGGGGTAAAAAAACAGCTCAGCTTTATCAAAAAAGCTGCTTGTGAAGCTAGTGAAGCTTCACTAGTGAATTTGAGCTATGCCAAACGGGAACTAAATATCATACGTATATTTTAGAAATAAAACCATAAAGCAACATACCATAGGTCTACCAAACTAGCCGAATAGCCAGGCATTCATGCGCTGTATGAAGTCCAGGCAAACACACCACTACACCAGTGTCCAGTGGCGGCGAAGAAGAATCAACCACCACATGCAAATTCAAGCCCTCATCAAGAGATAAATACGACACACTGCTTCATCCTTCCTTCTTCACCACGAAAAATATATAGCAACACAGTACGAGCAAAACAAAAAGGAAGAAATGCACCATATGGGTAAACTGAAACTTCTTTATGACATAGGTATCTATGCTCTCCGTGGCAAATTTAAAGTACCATTGATCATTTTCCACTCTTCTTCTGAAGCCATTTGAAGAGGATGCCTCGTGTGGGCGGCAAGGAAGGGGGGCAAAGACGAGGGACTCTACGGCCATGAGCTTGATGAGGATGTTCACCAACACCGATAGTATCCCTGGTGACAGCAGTTCCATATCGCACAAACTTAGTGTTCTACTCCCTCTGTTATAAAATCTACTCTTAAATCAAACTTTTTAAACTTTGACTGATTTTATGGAAAAAAATCAAGATTTATGATATCAAACTAATATCATTAGATTTACCATAGAATATATTTTCATAATGTGTTAAATTTATGTCATAGATGTTGCCACTCATTTATATAAAGCTAGTCAAACTTAAAAAAGTTTGACTGGCATGAATTCTAGGAATTGATTTATTTTAAGACAGAGAGAGTAGATTATAAGATGTTTCGGCTTTTCTAAAAACATTGTTTTTACTTTGCATCTAGACATAATGTATATATCTAAATGCATAGCAAAAGTAACGTATCTAGAAAAGCCAAAACACCTTATAATTTGAAACTGAAGGAGTACTTAAGGGCATGTTTGGCACAGCTCACAACAGCTTTATGAGTTGTTTTTTTGCCAAACATTTTTTTTCAAAACAGCTTCATAGGTAAAACGGTTTTTTTTCTCCTCTCACAAAGCGATGGGGTGGAAGAGAGCTGAAAAAAATAGCTTTTGCCAGCTTCATCTGACAGAAGTGGTCCCAGCCTGCACCATTGATGGGTCTTGCCCTGAGAGAGAGAGAGAGAGAGAGAGAGAGAGCAGGGGAGGGAGGCACGCGTACGCCGGCGTACCGGACAAGACCGCCGGAGTGTGGCCCCCCGAGGCGTGGCCGCCAAGGCAGAGCTCGCCAAGAGTGGGACCGTCGACGCGGGGTGGGGTGTGGTCGCCAGAGGCACGGTCGCCGGGGCACGAGGCGGAGGGCGGCCGCCAGACATCAGGGCGCGACATCCTGGATATACGGTCGCTCGGGCAAGAGAGAAAGGAAGAAGACACGCAGGAGAGAGGAGATATGGAAAAAAAAAAAAAAAAAAAAGGAAAGTGCACTGTAATCATTTTCCTATTTGGGTTCATGTGAAGCTGCAGAGCCAAACGGGGTAAAAAACAACTCAGCTTTATCAAAAAAACTGCTTGTGAATCTAGTGAAGCTTCACTAGTGAATTTGAGCTTATGCCAAACGGGATCTAAATATCATTCGTATATTTTAGAAATAAAACCAGAAAGCAACATGCCATAGGTCTACCAAACTAGCCGAATAGCCAGGCATTCATGCGCTGTACGAAGTCCAGGCAAACACACCACTACACCAGTGTCCAGTGGCGGCGAAGAAGAATCAACCACCACATGCAAATTCAAGCCCTCGTCAAGAGATAAATACGACACACTGCTTCATCCTTCCTTCTTCACCGCGAAAAATATATAGCAAAGCATGCGTCCGTTACAATTAGCAACTTCAGCTCTTCACTATACACACAGGCTGCTTCGGTATGGAATTGTGGATATATATTGATAGCATGCTGCAGGTCAGCGTGCAGTTCCTTCTTTGATGCCGGAAAAGATTGATACAGAAGGGGAAAATTTTAAGTACAGGATGAGAGGTGCATGGAAAACAAAGTAAGCATGTGGATGCATGGTCGTTTGCAGAAAGCACAGGATGCCTCTCTTTTGACACCAACCTGCTTGCTAGTACATCAGTTCAGTCACATTTTAAAATCTGAACTGAGCAGGGTCAAAATTCATGGTACAATGCAAATCAATCTATGCTTCTATTTCATCAACCACAAGTGACAAGAGTAATTTATCAAGAAGAGTACAAGCACCATCATGAACATGTAAAAAATCATATATAGGACAGGAGGGCCAAGATCGATGATTGGACACAAACCAACCTACGCTCCCAACTCATCAACAATGGGAGGAGCAAACATGAGCACATATTAAGGATATCTACAGCGAATTATATACTTCATATGAGATCTTTATTCAAGAAAAGTCTTCACCTCTTCTCAACTGAACATTTCAATTCACCGTGGACAGGGAGAAAGAAATGGGAGGCTCATCACCGGCTTGGAGTAATGGAGCAGGAACAAAGCCCACGGCTTCTCTCCTGACTCAACTCAAGATCCTGAAATATGGAAAAGCTTTGTCTCCATCACATTGAACAATGATCCACATTAAAGCATAGGCTCCGGCTCCTCGTTTTGTTGGCAATAATTCAGAAAAAAGTAGAAATGACAAACCTCTTACCAGATTCGAATCTTAACCATCCATGGACACTGACGATGATGGGGAGTTGTCTCAATCTATAATATAATCACATTTGGAATATGTGCCAGCTTGTTCTTATCCTCTCCATATCTGCATCTCTTCTCAAGCACTGGTCCACAGTTTAACAGGGTCAAGGTCTGCAATCCGGTGAGCTGTTGGATGCATGCAGGTAAAGTTTTCATAAAGTAGGTCTCCACCTTGAGCTCCCGGAGCGAGGTGATCTCGCCCAGCCACTCTGGCAAAGTCGTAATTTCGTCACAGTTCAATATCTCGAGTTTCTGGAGGGATCTCCATCCCCGAATACTCTCTGGCAAAGGTATATCATCATAACAGTCGTCTATAATCAATTCCCCGATGTCAAAGTGTCGTAGACCATTCCAGGATGTGGATGAAAACCCTCTGCTATACCTGATCTCCATTTTGTATAATGAGGCAGGGATGGATGGCCTCATGATTCGAGGAAAAGATGGACACATGTCTTGGCCTGGTTGTCCTTTCCTGCCTGATAAGATGTACCTGGCACTCCTTGGGATTGATGGTTCAAACCTCAACATAGAACAACAGTGTATCTCCAGATCTTGTAGGCCTGGAAACAAATTCTCATCGCTACAACCCTGCCCCTCCATGGATATTTGCAACTCCTGGTTGGTTAATTCGGACATTGTAATTCTTCTGAGCTTTCTAAGTGGTTCTGTGCACTGGATGCAGACTTTCGACCTTATGCTCTGTACCCGTGAAATGTGCAGCTCTTGGAGGCTCTGTAACTGATCCAGACGGAGATGTTCAAATCCCACACTGGAGAGCTCCAATTTCACAAGGTTTGGGAGTGATGACATCCAAAGAGGGTTATATGCATCATCATATCCCTTTAAGCTAAGTATTTCGAGCGAGTCATAAGGGTGGAGCTTTTTTACATCCAGTGTGGATACTTTATTGTATTTAGAACACACAATATGTAGTTCAATAAGCTGGGGACTACAAATCCTCTCCATAAACATATCGTTTGAAAGGACCAAGAGAACAGGTCTCTGCATTTTCAAAGACAACAAGAAACAAAAGGCATGGCCAAATTATCATTTTATATACAGCTGAATATAAGTCATACATATAGACACGCAGAGTAAATTACCTGAGTTATATCTACACTTCCAATGTGTTTTATCTTGTCTTTGTCCTCTCCTGATGTGCAACGTTTGCGGAGTCTGTAGTTGCACTTCTTAAGGACCAGCTTCTCCAAAGCAATGAGGTCTTGAATGGATTGGGGCAATCGCTCGAGTTTGGCAGCATGCACACACAGATCACGCAGTGATACAAGTTCTCCAAGCCATTCCGGTAAAGCAGAAAAATTCCAACATTCTAGTACCTCTAATTTGCTGAGGAAGAGGCAGCATCGGATGCTATCTGGCAAGGTAGTAAGGTCGATACAGGAACGAATACTCAGTTGCTCCAGATTAACACAGTACTGAAGAAGTTCCCACTTCTCGAGGCCATTCATTTTCTTGATTGTAAACTCTCTCAGTTTCCTAAATAATGGTGTCTTGTCTCCATATATAGCAGCATCAACTTTGGCGACACAAGGCATATTTGAGATGCACAGCTCTTCCAGGTTTGCTAATTTGCCTAATAAAGGGATATGCTCACACAATATCATGTCAGACAGCTCAACTTTCACAAGATTTGGAAGGGAAAAACTTATATCCATCACCCAGGAGCACAATGTACGACTCCTATAGCCTTGTATTCGAAGTGTTTTTAGGGCCCCATGAGGCTGGAGTTTTTCAAGAATCAGAAAGTCATTAACTATGCTTGAATCCTGTGGCAAACTGCTGCTAGACCACATCAAACTCAGTGACTGCAGTTGCTGATATTGGGACAACTGGCCTTGCCCGCTTACTTCCTCTGCTCTCTCCACATGCTCAAGATTCTGGATAGTTATCTGCTCAATTTTGTAGTCATGGTATTGATATAGAAGGGAAAAGTTATTGGAGCAATTAGTGGCAGAGCCAGTGGCAAAGTGTAGGGGGTGCTCTTCCCCTTGTGTTTCATTCTCTTCCATCTCTTTTTTCCGGTGAACCCAGTGCCTGAGGGGATCTTCCTCCTCTTCATTGTCTCCCTCTTCTTCTAGTGTTTCTAATTCTTCCTCCTCCAGTGCTTCTTTCCAACGTAGCTGCTGCCTGTAGCTGTCAAAAAATAAAAGCGGATTCCTGTACACCCGACTCCGCTTTGGTCTTACGCTAAAAAGAGCCACCTGCGTTGTACCACATTCAGCATTAAAAACTAAATAAACTACTACCAACATTAGTATGCATACGATAGCCATCCGACTCCCATGGTGATATTGGCGATCTTGAACATATACAAATGCTATCGTGTATGTTAGCAAAATTGAATGACCACACTGAAATTTTTATCCATGTCAGAGTTTTGATTAAATTCGAGTAGATCTTATAATTTCTTAAGAGTATCTAAATATTCAAACATTAAAACTTTGATAAGTAGTCCAACTTAGATATATTTTTTTAGCATAATTCAATTAAATAACTCTAATTTTACAACAATTGATGATGTCATTATAGTTAAAATGGAACAACTACATATCATACTGCAACCCAATCAAAATCTTAAAATATTTTATATTCATTACCTAAATAAATTTGAGGAAAGGAGAACAGATTGAATATTTATTTACAGTATTTGGAAACTCATTCTCTCGTTGCAGCATTAATACATCCTACTTTCAAATTAGATATTTCAGAAATATATAACGCTTGGTTTTGTGCATATCACCAAAATGGAACATTTACACTATGTACAATGCACATGTCGGTTTCGTAGGATTTCGAGTCTGATTACTAATTTATTTTTGGGGAAAATGAATCGACCCAGTCAGGTGAATGCTTATGGCATGACACTATGTTTTTGTCACGTCACTCCCTCTGATACGACATGAGCACGCCTTGTACGCACCTGCCACCAGTGTGGCAGATTTCCCAAGTCAATGCATGTGGCATGATACCGTTGTTTTGTCGCGACAAGTGGACAGGTGTGGCCAAACGGATTATATTTTAAAATACTTTTGAGGGTAGGTTATTTTGAAAATCTATTTTTTAAACGGTAAAAAAATTTAAAAAAAAACACACAAATGTGAAGATATTCTTTTGTAGATAAGGACAAACCCTTCCTTCAACTTTGTTAATGCTATGGTTTGAAGGGATTAGAGGGATCAAAAGGAATTGAGGAGGATTAATAAATTTCTTATAAGTTAAAATCTCCTTGATCCTCTCGAATCACGTTGGAAAGGGGATTAACTAAACAAGGTCAAAAGATGTGGTTGGTTAATGATTTAATGTGCATAGGACAGAGTGTAAGCTATGCTTTGTTTGGTTAGGACAAGTCTTTTCACAAATGGCTACTCTATTACTATGGGCGTCCTAAAATACAAGGGAATGTGAGTTTGTCCAAAGTTAAATTGTCATAAGTTTGACAAAATACCCATTCGATATAAAAAAAATTATTATTATTGGTCAAGGTTAAAACAATTTGACTTGGGATAAACTCAGAATTCTTATGTTTTAGAACGACGTAATAATATATATAAATTTTGTGCTTAGTCTTGGGAGATCTTTTCAAAAGGTGCGAGTTTTGGGGAAAAATGGTGGCATGGGATTTGTACATGAATTGCATATACTTAAACTAAGGGGGCTGCCAAACACCCTTTGTAACTATAAATTTGTGTTATCATTGGTTTTTTCTAGAGTCGCAAACCAAGTGAACCATTGCATGGTAATATGCTGTCAACATAGGCCTTAAACCTATCCCTTGTGTCGATGGGTAAACACCGGTAAATTAACACTAGCAGACTAAATTGATGTTTGGCTGAGGGATTTGGAGGGCGAGGTCTCACTAAATCTGATATAAACATGCAAGGGAAATGAATGAGCTTGTGCGTGGACTCCACGAGCAGACCTTGTAATCCGTCTGAGCCTAGCATTGAAACAAGAGTTAGCTCTTCTCTTTCCCTCTCTTCTCTCTTGTAAGCAAAATTCTGAGCTAGACTTATATGAGCCCTTTGTAGACTTGCTTAGCATGTTCTTTTAGTGTTGTTTTAGTTTTTTTTAAGGACATGTTTAGCATGATGGCCCTAAGGACTTAATCTTAGTGTGATGTTTTAAGTCCTAGGCTTAATCCTTGCAAGAGGTGAGTAGAATTTGTAAAGACAAAGGTTGTTGCACTAAATTTTAGAGCCCAATTCACCCACTCTAGAGCCATCCAGTCCTTTCAGAGCCAAGCTTTTCCTGTGGGACTCATTCTATTTGAACCGTGTTGAATCGACGATTAAACAGGTTGGACCAAGCAAACCATGAACCAAGACCTGGATTGATTCAGTATCCGTTACAGTCATAATATAACTATGGCGGAGCACTAGGAGTTGATGTGTGCCGTAACTGCCACCACTGCACCTTCCTATTTCACCTCCAATTTTTTTTCTGATTATTGTTAATATTCCATTCAATTCAAATTTGACTTCCAACTCAAAAATCCAATTTTAAGGAATTACCCCACAAGTTTAAAAATCAATGTGGTTAGGAGAGCAAAATTTTCTAAACAAAATAAAAAAAAAATCCTATACAAGGCCTTTTTTAAAAGGTAAAAGCCCAAATTACTCCCCTGCGCATGAAAATTGACTGCATAACCTATAAATTACTTTTGTGTTGAATTTACGCCTCCAGTTGAGTCTAAAGCTCCAATTATGTAGCTGATAGTGAACATCATAACTTATGTAGTTATGTTAGAAAAATACATTATGACATTTTCATCATAATTTTTGTACAATTTTGTATGTAGGATAAATTTATTATAGATGCCTAAGTTATCAAAAATTAATGATGAACATTCATAATGTATTTTTGTAACATAAAATATGATTTTTTTCAACCTACAAGATTGAAACTTAAAATTCAACTTACATGTGGAGAAACAAGAAAGAAAAATCTTACTAAATGGTTAGATTAGACCAACTGAAATATCTTGAGAGATAAATTGAACATAAAATTAGTTTTGGGTGCTTTCTGGACAATGTTCCTGTGCTGGGGCCGATGAGTAAATTGAACTTTTTCATTCTTTTAAAAAAGTAAATAGGGTCAACTTACCTCCCTCGTATTGACATACGGAATATGATGATAGCCGGACAACATTGAAATAAGAAGTTCTGGAGATGGTGTAGTCAATTTTTCCAATCTGGTCATTTTATGCAGTGAGTCATGCCAGAAGAAGTAGCGGATGCAATCGACTTCAATTTCCTGTAGTGATGTGAATAGAGCCAATATTTTAGGAAGTGGCCTGTGGCAATCTGTTATCTTGACTTTCCGAAGGGTTCCAAAAGGCCGTTCCTCCATTCTGGACGGTCTGGCAATGATGTTGCATCTAGTGATAAAAAGCTCCTCCACGTTGATGTCAATCCATCTTAGAAAATCATCATGTATTTCAACACAGTCTATCCACATTTTTGATTTGAATGTGGGATTCAAATGCAACATATCATATCTTTGGATACCTATGGCATCTTCCTCGATATGATCCAGATTGAGAAAGCTATTCTTGATGATGTACTCCTTGCTCATTGGGATATATGGATGCAGTTTTAGATTATGACAGCTTTCTATCTTCAAATAATCAAGTGTAGGACCTGCTTCCTGTTCTCTTCTTTCTTTAGAGGGAGCTGGAGTTAGTACTGGCTTGCAGGTGACAGCAGGTGCGTCATTTCCAGCACCAATGTAGTGTATTCTCTTTGTCTCTGTCGACGTGCCACAGCGTGGAGCTTTTAAACAACCCTTGACCTTTGCTACAAGGCCTGCTACTGCTGCCTTTCTTTTGACTTGCTTATTTACAGGAAGAGAACCAGGTAACTTGTCATGCTTATCTCTTGTTTCTCTCTCTTCCTCATCGAAGTCACGACTTAATACCACCTCATGTACTCCAGTCTCTTCCACATCATTTACTTGTGTCTCTGAGTTGTCATCATAAAATATAAGTACAGTGATGTCTTGCAGTCCAACCAATGTCAGTCGTCTTAACTTCTTGCATGGTACAATTCGTGCATGACGAAGCAGAGGCATATCATTAATCTCCAGTTCCTGTAGATTTGGTAAATGTCCCAATGTAGGAATATGGTCACATCCCTTGATATTGGACAATACAATTTTCACCAGATTTGGGAGTGTGTCATCTATCTTGTTAACCCAATTAGGAAATCTGGTTCCACTGTAGCCTTTTAAAGAGAGGCACTGTAAATTGTAATAGGGCCTGAAATTTTCCAAAACTGCCATAGCCTTTTCCTCACCAGCCCCATCAGGTGTCAAAGAAGACAAAAAACAAGACCATTCAAAACTCAAGAAATGAAGCTGTTGCTTCCTGCTCAGTTCCACTTTCTTTGCTTCCTCTGGCGACACCACATTCTCAAGGCATTTGATGTTTAGCTCATGATGGGTGAGATCCAGGATCTGCTGGAGAAGCATAATATTGCTGTGGTTGTCTGCAGGTTGTGCCCGTACATTAAAGTTGGGCAAGGTTAGAAGGTCTACCAAGCTTGCAATGCCTTTTTTTGAGAAGAGTGTGAACCCTCCAACTGATAGGTACTTAAGATGATGCAGACGTTGGGTGATGATATCCTCTTGCAGCATACCTAGCTCTAGTTCTCTATTGAGATCTTCTGAACTCTCTACATTTGCCACAGAGGTTCCTGGAGCTTCAGGATAAGCTTTAGCATCAAACCCAGAGAGATTTAGGTACTCCAACTTATCGAATTTCCAGTGCGGAATCAAATTTAGAAAGTTGTTAATTCGAGAACAACCTGATAGATTTAAATACCGGAGCTCACAAAGGCTGGTGCAGGAATTTGGAAGGGCAGCCAGATTAGTACAATTTGATAAATCCAAAGTTTCCAACATCGGGCAGCAGCCAGCATCATTCTCACAAACTTCAGGAAGAACTTCAAGAGAGGTACAGCCAGACAAATTCAAACCTAGAAGCTTCTTCATGTACTTGAATAACCCACTAGGCAATAGTTTCAACTGGTGGCAGAAGGACATATTCAGATGTATCATATTTGCAAGGTAAATGAAAGAATCAGGCAGCTCACAAAGTTGGTAACAATGCAACAGGTTGAGATACAAAAGTTCCTGAAGCCCACCAAACTTTGAAGGAAGCGTTTGAAGCTGAGAACAATATGAAAGGTCGAGGAATGAGAGTTTTCGAAGCTCCCCAAACTCATTAGGCAGAGATTGTAGGCTACCACATCCTGATAGGTTCAGGTGTAGCAGCTCTTTGAGTATATGAATTTCTTGTGGCAGCTCTCTAAGATTTGAGCAGCCATGTAGATCCAAATAGTGTAGGTTGACAAATTCACAAATGTAACTGGGAATATCAACAAGGCCAGTATTTTCGGAAAGATTCAATGCTAGTAAACCATGCAAGGAGCTTAGGGACTTGGGCAGAAGGCCAGTTTGCATTCCAGATATATTTAAGAACTTCAACAGTCTAAAATTGCTGATAGAATCAGGTAGATCGGCAATAGAGGTACATGTACCTAAATCCAGTACACGTAAGAATTCAGCTCCCATCAAAGACTTCAAACTAGCCTGAGCAATGCTACACTTCTCAAAACGAAGAGCCCTTGCTGTGCTAGGTATAGACCAATAATATAGGGATGAGTCACATAAATTTGAGAGCAACATGTGTCGGCAGTTGTCTGTATTACCATGAGGATTTTGTTGCCTATTAGCATCAAAGGCAATAACTTCATCACCCGCAACTAATCTAGCTAGATCATGAACCAAATCATGCATCTGTTGTACACCTCGAGGTTCGTTATATCTTGCAAATGGCTGAAAAGATGAAATTGTACCCATGTTAGTAAACTACCTTGCCCAAGTTTAGTCATAATTAACTTGCATGGTAGCATGTATTATCAAAAAACAAAAAATGAACATAAATTGACGTAGATTGGCTTTTTTGTAGTGGAACTAGATGAGACTACCTAAATAGAAGTTTGACCTCAAATACTAAGCAGTAAAAGAAACCAAGGACTTACAGTTGGAGACATTCCAGCTACATCCTGAAGAAACGACATCTCACGAAGCTCCTCAAAGTATCTTTCTCCAGCTTGTTGCACGGTGAACGATTGGCTAGCAGCAGGGAGCTGAACAAATCCAAGAGCAATCCACTGCTGAATCAAGCTGCTCTTCTCTATGCGGGAGCCTTTAGGAAAAACAGCACAATATGCAAAACAGGGCTTGAGATGATAAGGCATGTATTGATAACTAAGCTTCAGTGATGGTAGTACTTTCGTGTCTATGAAAGGTCCATCTCCATCTTCTGCCCAGATATCACTATCCAGTATAGCTTTCCATTCATTAGTTCTCCGGCAAAGGTGACCCAAAGAATTTGCTGCTAGTGGCATTCCGCTGCATTTATTTACTATCTCTCTTCCTATACTTTCCTTATCAGCATCCACCTTTCCATGTGGAAATGCCTTTGCTCTGAACAACTCCCAGCAGCAATTGTCCGGTAAAGCACCTAATTCTATTGTCAAACTCCCATTCATTAGCTTAGCAACTTTTACACTGCGTGTGGTTGCAATGATCTTGCTGCCTGCTTTAGCACCCCGCAGCAGTGTCCTTAGTTTTTCCAACTCATCTGGATCTTCTTCCCATAGGTCATCAAGAACAATAAGAAACCGTTGCCCTTTAACAATAGTTTTCAAGCGGTCCCGTGTAGCTTGTAAGGTGATATCAGCAGAGCTACTTGATTTATCCAGTTGGGAGATGATAGATTGACCGATGGTCTTGATATCAAATTTTAGAGAGACATAGACCCACACTTGGATGTCAAAGAATTGCATTGTTCTATCATCGTTGAAGACCATCTGGGCAAGAGTAGTTTTACCTACTCCTCCAAAACCACAAATAAAAATGATGAAGCAGTTTGAGTCATCTGCTTGCAGCATACTGATTATTCTTTCTTTTTCTTCGATCCTCCCAATGGGGACTTCATCAGCATCTGAAAATGTCTCACGTTTCCTGAACACTTCTTCGTCGTTCTTTCTAGTGTCTTCTCTGAAGTTGAATTTGTTCTGGTGATCTATTATCTCCTCTATTGTTTCCCTCATTCTTTTCAATTTATGAGGCATCTTCAACCTTTCAGAGCATGCAACTAATTCCTGTTGTCAATAAATGGCACACATCGTAACAGATTTCATCATAATCTACCGCAGTTTAGCTTTGAAGTATTATAGCTGGCAAGTGGCAACTGACCTTTGTAGCCTTGGCGCTAAGCGGAAGGACTTCACCCTTGTGGGTGGTGGTCCAGGACTCGAAGAGTAGCAGCATATCCTCTAAGTCATAAGCTGCAGCCTTGAGCTTCTTGAGCGTGTGACGGACACTCTGCAGCTTTGACGACTGCCTCTCCGCGTCCCTGAGGAATGATTGAATGAAGGACAGATTGTCCTTGATGCTCCCCAAATCTTCACTGAATTTCAGCTGCCTAGCAATCTCTTTCCAGGCGGCGTTAAAGGTGACATCAGCGAGCTTGCGGAACAATTCCACCACGGCATCCATCGTAGGACGCGAACGAATACCCTGCGGGAAACCAGAACGTGTGTGGAGTAAGGAACTAGTAGCAGAGGTGAGGCCACAGAGGACTCTTTATCAGCGCACGGGTTCATTCTTCTTCCCTGTTCTTCCTCTATTCTTCTTATTCGTGGTGCCATTCTGCTCCCCCGCTGCAGCCCCCGGCCAGCGGCGCCCTCGCCTCTGGCCGCGCCGCCCACCAACCACCTCCGTTGCTCCAGCCCGCTCTCCCCAAATCCGAATCGGAATCGTCGCGCCGCCCACCCCCGCCCTCACCTAATCCCTGTAGGAGAAAAAATCTTGTGCCCCTCGCCCCCTAACCTTGCCTTCTAAGCCCGGAGATCATTGGAGTTACCCAAGCTCCACCCCAAACCCTAACCTTGCGGGTGCACTGTTCTTCTTCCTCCTCACCGGCATCGTTTCTGTACGTGTGGACGCGTGTCCGTGCGTTGCGCACAGCGCGCGCGTTATGTATTTTGGAGGCCATACGACTAGGAAGGAGAGGTATCTAGCTGTCTGCCACGCCCTACGTCAGGCACCGCCATCTTACAGCGTCTCCACCAACGCTATTCAAAACAGAGCCTCTACTTTTTTTTTATCCACCTATTTAGAGAGACCAACGTGTCGCCCTCTCAGTGTCTCCGATAGAGATACCCAAACGCAAAATCGGTGTCGCATAGTACTTTTACATATCAAAATCACGCTCCAACAGAACACCCATACCAGGAACCCATTTTGGGTCCGACGCCGGCAAGAACGCAAAAAAGCGTCGTCGAGGAGAGATGACGCAAAAATCTTGCGCCCATGGTGGTGGGCGCCGCCGCCAGGAGGGGCGCGCCGCCAAGGCAGCCGCCGAAGCGCTTCGCCAGAAGCGCCACGGGCCGAGGAAGGGCTTTAGCGCCATGGCCCCTTCGCTTGCTAAGCTGCTTTCGGCTCGAAGTCACGAGGGCAAAGCGGATTCAGAGAGAGAGAGCGCGGGGAAGAGAGGGCGAATGTAGGAGAAGCGAGCTCAATGACGGCAAGCGACCCTAGTGGTGCACAGCTCCGGCGACTATTGATGGCGAAGCGTGGTGCTTTCGAGCACGAGCGTCATGGCAAGGTCGCGGATGGCGCGGCGCTTCGGTGGCGCTGCTCTGGCGATGTTTCAAATTTAAGCGGCGTCGTGCGTGGCGGTTCTTTGTGTGCGACGCAGCGGATCGCAAGCCGTGTCGGGACTTGGCCAGCGGATCATGAAGCGGCGCATGCAGCGCAGCTTTCCCGCGAAAGCGTGGTGGTCGGACGGACAAATTTCGGCTCCGGCAAGATGAGGCGACGGGAGCTTTTCTCGTTTGCGTCGGCTGTTGGAAAAAGTCATTTTTTGGGTCCGTGACCCTTCACTGTGCGGTACCCAAAGCATGGTATGCCTGTCGTTTTTAGGTCCGACCCGTTGGAGACAGTCTTGGATGAGTTTGGAAGGTCATCCTCTATCGGATGAGCCTGTAAGGTCTATTTTAGGTAGTATTGCTGAAAAAAGTAGTATTTAAATAATCTTTTATGTTGGAAGAGGTGCGCCGGCATCGAGGAGCGTCGATGGCGGGAGCCAAAGGTGCGCCTGCACCCATGTGGGGGCATGGCTGCCGCAATCGGATAGGGTCATCGTGCTGGGACAGAGCCGCCAACGTTGAGGAAAGTCGCAGCGCCGGGCAGAGCCGCCGACGTCTGGGAAGATCGCCGCGCCGGCTAGGGAGTGCCGAGGAAGGAAAGGCGGCGGGGTGGAAGGGACATGGCGGGAGCAACTGTAGGCTCGCACGGGGAAGAAAGGCTTAAGGAAAATTTTGGGTGACCGATATCTCCAATTTGGGTAGTGGAGGCAAAAAAAAAATCAGCTCCAGTAGACCCCCCCAAATGTTGGCCCCCTATTTCTCTCTCCCACTACCCATTCTTGTTGGCCCCCTAATAGACTACCCAATCTTTTTTTCCATGTTTCTTCTCTGCACGTCTCTTCTTCGCGCCAAGCGAGAGGAATTAAAGGGTTAATGCAAAATTCATCCAGCGGGCTACCCGCATAAAAATTCATTATGTTGTAAAGTTTTTCTCTCCTATCAGTACTCATGACCGCAACATGATTCAATAGATCATGGGTAGGACTTGAAATTGGTGAAAATGATCAAGCAGTACTTTCTTCAGATTCCGGTCTAGAGTATGTTCCCATTCACTTGTTAAGGAAATGGCTATCAAGAACGAATTAACCCTTTATTCTTTTTTTTTAAGTCCACTAGTTCCCCGCTAAGAAGGTAGAGCAGTTTGATAGCTCATATGCTTGGGGTTACGGGTTCGATACTGACTACCTGCTCCATATTATGATATATGTATCATCCATTTGTATAAGGTATATGGATTTGTTTTTCTTTTCTAAAAGAGTTTTGGTCTAACAGTTTTTTATTATTTCTACGGCACACCGGCATCACAGCTCTCTCCTTTGCACGACTCTCCGGCGTGGGCGCGGCGGGCCTCGCCGGCTCTGCTCCCAGCGCAGGTGCCTCCACGACGGCGCTCCCAGGCACGGGCCGGCCTCCCGGGCGACGCTCCCCGCCGGCCATGCCGCAACAACACGCTACCTCTATGCCGGCCGGATCCGTAGCGGCCCGCTCCTCGGCTACTCCCCTCCCCGCGCGGCAACCTCCTTCGGCCACTCCCTGGTAATCTCCTCCGGTCACTCCCCCAGCGGTGGCCTGCTCCCCATCCCCATGGCTGAGTTCGTCAATGGTGACAAGGACCCACATGTCATCCACTTCTTCTTAAATGAATTTGTGCACACGAACTTGCTCGGATTGGTTTGAATTGGACCCGAATCGATCGCATGTTTTGATTGATCCCCTCCCAGAGTTTGTACAAAATCTTATGTCTCATGATGTAAATGTTCCACCCCAGATATAATAAAGTGCAAACTTGTTTCAGAAAAAAATAAGAGGCTAACAAATTTAGGAGGCGGGTCTGGAGCTGAGTTTTTAGTCTCCACTACTAAATTGAGGATAGGATGTCATTTGGGTAGAGCTCGAGATGCTGTTAACGGTTCCTATTCCTCTGTTCTGATCATCAGATGGGAAAGTACTCCGTAAACAAGCTGCTCCAAAGCATCAGGAGTGTGAAGGAACGAATAGCAGAGGACATCACTTACATCAGGGCTAGAGGAACAGGGAGGCGGAAAGCCTTTCATCTTACCACTAGCAGCAGTAGGAGTAGGAGAGGCGACGCGCGGTCTGGGCCTAGCTGTACGCCGTGGCCGGAGTCAGGCGGCCGCGGCAGCGGGAGGCAACCCGGCTGGGTGACCGTCTCCTCCCCTCCTCTTCCCTGGTTCCTCTGGGCTTCCTGGCAGAAGAGATGGGTACTTGAGAGAGGTGTGAGAGAAAATGGGAGCACCGAGATTGTCTTCCCGGTACTCATAAATCCAGACCGTGCTCCACACGGCGTTACGGGTGAAGCAGAGCATCCCGCCCGGAAATTCGATGCATGCGCTTGGCCGCTTGCGCCGCGGACCATGACTCTTGGTCAAGTCGTCCGTGTGCCGACTGCCGATGGCACCACACAGTGTCATGGAAAGCTTATTCTTTCCGTTCGGCAAGTCAAGTCAATTGGCCGGAAGCAGTGACAGTGAGATCTGACGCGCTAAGTCTGAGCAAAGCGGAAGAGCCTGTAGCAGGGTCCAAAGAGGTTGAGAAATTGGAACTCGCCGCCGGTTACCTACCTAATAATCACATAGTAAGGTGTGCTTTCTGCGTCTCTTATCCTACCCTTCGGGTGAATTTCCGTTTTCACCTTGTCACCTACAACTGTAAACTCTGAAATGGAGCCTGTTTAGTTCATCACGTAACAAACAATATTTGCATATACATGGAATAAGGGCCTGAAAACTTGATAAAACTCAGTCATCATCGAAGAAGCCAAATCTTTTTCTTTGATTCGGTCTCATCAAAATCTCATGGCCTGTTACAGCATCGAAGATTCAGCGCACTTGTCGACACTAGCTGACCGGCTCTCTGGGACTACTACATCCGTTCCATTTTATTTGGCGCACACGTATATCAAGATTTAAACTTTAAAAACTTTGACCAATAATTAGGCTAATAATATTTAACTATTATAATACGAACTTTATAGGCTTAGATTTATAAGGAATTATACTATCCAATGATTATAAGTTTATAAGCATAAATAATATAATATAAAGCAAATAAACGGTCAAAGTGTAATCTAAGAGACCGTGTTATTCTAACTTACGCCAGATAAAATCAAACGGAGGGAATAGTACTTTTCGTTTCTCAAGCCAAACAAACCAATGGTCAAGTTTCGAATTTAGAATCGGATGATCCGCTGCCACTCTCAGGAGTCAGGACCAGTGAGGTGATCGATCTACCTTGGCCCAATACCCCTGGCCCTGATAGGTGCGACATTTGTTTGGAAGGACATATCCTGTCCTGAAAAACCTCCGTAATCAAAATACCGAATACAGAACTCTGGGAGTACGGGTTGGTTATGCCTGTTGACTGCAACGGACATTCACAGTGCCCCATACTACTACTACTGCTGCTGCTCAGTAGGTGTATAAATCAAATCTAACCGTCAATATTTTCTGCTAATTTAATCATTGTTACAATTCGATAGAATTTGGGCCAAGTTATTCCCTTCCGTAGCAAAGAACAATTATCCTGACTAGGCGTTGGGTTGTACAGACCGGTCAGCAGTGACCTTGATAGGCTCATAGGCATGCTGGTGCCTAGCTTGTTGCACCATTTTTTTCCCCCGAAGAAACGCCATTGTTGCAGCATATGCCACAGTTCATTAACTTGCTCTATACGCAGGTACAATCAATGGTGAAAGCAGGAGACACTCTAGTTCATCTGGATGGATCGGCCGGAGTAAGCAACATCTCCATGCATGCAAGGAGTGAAGATGACAGATCCTCGAGAATTGGCGACTGCTGTAGAACAACCCTTGTCCAAACTTCGAGC